GTCTTCGGTTTTGGACGGCCTTCATCGCGGCGCTGTGACGTATGTGGCCGACGAATTCGGCCTTTGGAGGACCCGGCCCACCGTTTTGGACACATCGTTGGATGTGAAGCTGGACACGGACGCTTCCTAAAAATGTAACCGAAGCAAAAATGCAAAAGGCCTCCTGGCAGTTTATTGTAAAAACATATTCCTCAGCTCACAGTGTGCAGAATGCAGGTGTTGTTTTTGTACCTGTGAAAGCGTACAGATCCAGCTGCTTCGTCTGTTTCTGTAGTGTGTCATCATCTTCTGTCTTACAGACGGCAACAATGTCACACACCTGAACTGYCTGGCTGTTTGCTGAAAGACATTCAAATAGAAACATTTTAGGAAAATTCCGTGCACAAAACCAAAACTTGATGCTCTTTAAGAGCAAAGTGGATCTATGATGAAAAGGGTAAACACACACAGGAAACAAAAGGGCCTAAAAAATACAATGTTTATTTCAATAAATAAATTAAATAAGTAGCAGTAACCTGAAGTTTTATATTAGCATAGTGTTTATGTGCAGTCCCACAATAAAATAACCACCAAACTTACATGTAAACATATTGTAGTTWATTTTCATTTTCCCCTATAGTTTCATTGCTCCTAATGTTCTCACTTTCATGTTTTTTGTATAAATAAAACTTTAGGTTACTGTCGTAACCCTGGTTCTCTGAGTATGTTGAGAAACAACAAAATTGTTTCATTTAATTTTATTGTATCTAATATATGAGCACCTTTACTGGGTTTGACTACAAAAATGCAATCATTTAGTTGGGTCGGTCAGTTTAATATTTCGGCTGAATCAAAGTTTAYTTCAATCCTTCACAATAAGAGTCTCAAAAGCTGAGTGCTAACCTTAAAAAATGTTTCTAAACAGYTGACCATGGAAAAATCTGTGCATATTTAATAAACGTTAACAGTCAGTGKATGTGTTTAAGGCTCTTATTGTGAAGGACTGAATATGCTTTTGTGAGGAATAAACMACACCTTGGATTGCTTCAACTAAAACAGTGTGCGCCATTTGAGATTTAAAACCAGTAAAAATGCCCTCAGATACAATAATAATAAATTAAACAAAGCTAGTAGTGTTCATTCACTTTGAATTAAGACGTAAAAAGCAACTTTTTTACAATTACTAATGCACAATCGATATTTGTGATGCATTATTTATGGCGTGGCCACTCGTTTCTTGTGTCTTGGCCATGCGTCATCTCGTGGCTATATTATTAGTGTGGCCATGCTTTATTTATCTCATGGTCACGCATTAATTTTGTGTGGCCACAAGATATTTTTTCCCCCAGTGTCACCAGATGAGCATCGTCTTACTCAGTTTTACAAAACTAATTTAAGTAATTTTTTTTGCCTTTTTCAGAGTCAGGATGTTATTCAGCTCAGAGATGACTTCACTCCTGCAGTTTCACTGGTTCTACACGAGTAAATGATTATATTTGRGTTTGTTTTATGATTAAAACTTCATCCATTCTGCAGTAAAACTCTGTCCTAAAGTGAACTTGAAGAAGCTTTTTCTAACAGAGAACTGAACACGGTTAAATCCTCAGAAATCCGGGGAGGTTTCTCCTCAGTTTTCCCACGAGAATAGGATTCAAGCTGGCTGTTTAAAACCTCTGGGGGATTAAAAAAAACTTTATGTTTCAGGGGCTTGGTTAGTAATCAAATTTGTCGGCGGCAGGGAGACCTGGTACCTCCTGGTGGTGACGAGTTCAGCCGGCTTTAAGATCTGCTGCAACACTTCAGAGAATTTAAATCTGGACTTTTCCACCATGTTGAAAAGGCARCGTTAGGAGAAAGGAACTGTGGGTAAACAAGTCATTTTCAGGGCTTTTAAAACATTTTATGGTTCAACAAAAYATGAGCAGAGAAACTCAACTAAACAAAAAGTAAAAAAGGACAGCTCAAGGCTTAAACAGGGAAGTCAATCATACTGGCTGCTAACAGGACTAATTCAAAAATCAGTTTTTACTCAATTTAACTCMCAATCACTTGAAGTTACCGCTCACAGACTGGATAAAAATGACTTTCAATCCAACGTCTTGGAAAATATGCTCTAGTGTTTGATCAAACTGTATTAAATGAAAAAAAAAAAGAACTGGTTGACTAAATTTACTCCCAATTTAAATCACTTTGTAATGTTTTTTTCCATCAAATAAGATTACAGTGTTCTTCTGATGCTTTTAAAGTGTAACTT